ACTTCATATTAACTAAAACAAAACAGTTCTAGTCACCCTACCAGTATTTGCTTGACTTTCCCCCAACTTTTATCAAGTAGACATTAATTTAAGAAAAATGTTGCTTGTTTTCACTATATACAGGCACTATTTTGTTCTCAGATTATCTTAAAAAAGGACAAAATTTCAGTTAAAGTCCAAATAGGACAGACACTGCTCATATTTATATAATGCTGTGTATCAATATATACATTTAAAAACCCAATGTAGAATCCCTGAATATGCTCATCACTTCTGACTGTTTGTTAACACTTTTAGGCAGTTCTAGTTTTGTAGAAACAGAAATGAGAAGAGAATTGCCAAAGTACACTTTACCAAAAAGTGTAAGAAATAATGGTGAGAGGAAACCCTTTGAAATACAAGCCAAGACAGTTTATAAAGATGATGCATCCAGGGATTTAAGAGATGTCAGCTGTCACTCAATAAAGGTTATTCAATTGGGAAACCAATTTTCTCTTGTGAAATTGAAAACTTCAAGGCAAACAACTGCATCTTTAGAAGAAGAATGCTACCTCCACTATTGGACATCATGAATACTAACTCCAACCCCAACAGCTTTCAGCACCTTCTGAAGGAAGTTGTAGCTGACTCCAGATGTAGCGTCCATAAAGCTGGTGTCCTCTGCAGTGACAAACTCAAGCCATGATAACATGATCATAATGTGTGAATAAAGGCAGTTGTGGGAGCATCTTCTACCACTGATGCAAAACTACAAAGTCAGTAGGACAATGGTATTTTCCCACCCTTAGTCTATCATGTCCCTAAGGAAGGCAGCGCGCTCTGCAATATTCTATCAACAGTATAGGGATTAGCAGCACAACAATCCTGCTGCTGCTTTCACTGGGAAACTGCTTTCACAGTTTAACCCACTTTCGTATTTTCAGGCTTTCTGAAAAACAACATTTAACACTTATTTCATACGTTACGCTGATACCCACAATGTATAATACTGGAGACAGCATCCAATTTTCCCTACAAAAAAATTTTAATTAAGAAGATTATGGATTTCCTAATCCAGTAATCACTGACAAAACACACATTTCTTCTTCCCCAAAGTCTTCAAGAGAAGCCACATAGTCCTTGAAATTGGCAAGCCTACATGTACCCTAGATGAGCTGCAAATACATACCATTGTGCATGAAAATATCTGACTGCTGTCTCCGTTATTAGATACGTGGGTACCAATTTATGAAATATGTGTATTGTATGTATGACTATAATGTTAAACAATTTCTTTTTTTTTTTAAAGCAGTCTTTCAAAATAAGCCATTACTGCTCCCAGCTGGTCATGGTGCATCTGTGCTGAACGTTACCATACTGCAGTAAGGCTGGCAAAATGAATGTGTGCCAGATTCTCACTCATTACTGTTTGTTGCTTCATGTATTCAATTAAGTCAGTATTTACAGTGACCCAAAGTTAACATGCTGGGCTGTAAACTGGCACATATGCACTTCTGCTAGCTATGCTACAGTGCAGGAACATTCAGCTAAGATACAGGAAGGGGGGTAAGGGTGAACTTCGACTCAGCACAAGAAGCAGTTATCATAAACCCTTTGGCACTTCATTTACTTGCAAGAAGCCCGATTTGCTAAAAGAGAATGATAAAAACAGCACAGTTATACTTCACAATACCATGAGACCACATTGTCTTGGTTTACTACAAGCATTCCGTTCTGAATTCTACATTGGTTTTGTTCAAATTAGTTTTGTTCAAATGGAATACTAAATGTACTAAATACAAGTAAATACCTGCTCCTGGAATGATTGTTTACAGTAAAGCTGAAGGCCATCAACTTCTTGCTTAATAGCATTATGAAAAGATGGTCTCTCCTAGGAAAACTGTACTTTAATGCCACTACAGAAAACGGGGTGTGAGGAGTTTCCCATCCCCCCCCCCCCCCCCCCCCCCTTTTTTTTTTCAC